CTGGTGCCAAGCCGAGACATTGGCCTTGGCATTTATGGGCATTTGGATGGCAGAGAGGTGGTGGCAGTTTCTTATTAGATTCAAGATTCAGCAGGAGAATTCTTGATCTTGGTTGTTAAAAGACCCCATATAGGCAGGGAGTGTTGTTTCCATTGGCATTTTAATGAGTTTTTCAAGTTCTGAGAGAATTTTTTCAAAGCGACTCTGGGCCTTGTGAAAGTCCTGCTGGTTCATCTCATACTGATCTCATGAGAAATCCATAAATCTTATATGAAAAGGTAAGTCTTGTGCTTATTGCTTGACCAAAATTTAGTAGGAAAAATATTCTTACTACAAGCCACAAAGCACATTAAGATAAATGATTATCTATCAAATAACAACAATGAAAACATTACTTATCAGAATTTTTGAGACACAGCTAAAGCAGTGCTCAGAGGAAAATGCATAGTGTGGAGGTTAATCTTAGGTATCAACTTCACTGGACCATGGGTGCCAAGGTATTCAGTTGAATGTTATTTTGGGTATGTCTGTGAATATGTTTCCGGATGAAATTAACATTTGAATTGATAGATTTCAGAAAGCAGATTGTCTTGCCCAAGATGAATGGAACTCATCCAATCCATTGAAGACTTGGACAGAACAAAAGGCTAGGTAAGAAAGACTTCCCCTCTCTGTCTTCCAGCTGGAACATAGGTCTTCTCCTGCCTTTGACTACTGATTCTTCTAGATCTCAGGCCCTCAGACTGGACTGGAACTGTACCATCAATTTTATTGCTTTAGTTAACCTCTAAATCAAGAAAAATCCCCAGAAAACTAGCAGCACATATGGAAAAATAAACGAAAAGACAACAACAAAAAAACCCGAGCCCTACAAGACATGCTGCATATTTAAAAGCTACAATAATTAAAATAGTACAGGACATCTTGGAGTTGGAACAAAATAGGAAGTCCAGAAATAGACCAAAACTTATTGGGAATTTAGCTTATGATAATGATGGCATTTCAAATCATTGGGGGAAAAGATGCATTATTCAATAAATAGTGTTGAGACAACTGGGTGGCCATCTGGAAAAAAATTAAGTTGGAATCCACACCTCACTTCTTATAACAGGATACATACCAGGGGGACTTAGTGATTTAAATTTTTAAAAATGCTAGAAGAAACTATGAGAGATTAAAAAATGATCTGATGAGCATGTTGGAATAGGGAACTTTCAAAGTATCACACTAAATTCAGAAGCCATAATATAAAAAAATGATGTGTTACATTACACATTATCTATGGAAAAACTAACAAAAACAAATTTAAAAGCATAATGTCAAGCCAGGAAAAATATGTTAATATTTGTAATACATAAAGACCAATAATAATCTACTAACCAATAATAAAAATTACCTACTCTATGATAAGAAAACAGTGGGCAAAGTTACGAACAGAGAATTTACAGAAGGAACACAAATGTTTCACTTTATTCATACCATGAGAACTTGTAAAGTAAAACTACAGAGAGATGGCATTTACCATGTATTACTTACCAAACTGACAAAAGCTAGAAAATTTTATATACTCTGTTGGTGACGGTAACGCGAACAGAAACTCATATATGTTGTTATGGGACCTTCAATCTGTACACCCTCTGTGGATGGTGAAAATTACCAATGCATATGCCTATATTCTACTTCTAGGAATTTATCCTAATCACTTTTGGGCAAAATGAAGTATGTACAAAGTTCTTCATTACAACATTTTTTGAAACAGTAAATGATTGTAAACCACTGCCCCCCCCCAAAAAAAACCTGACTAAATAAATCCCAGTGCACTGAGACTCTAGAAACTTTTTATTTACTGATATGGAAATAAGCTTCAAGATAGATTTTCAAATGAAAAAGGTGAGGTACAGAACTGTGTGCAAAACAGGGTGCTATTTCTGTGAAATGGAAAGAAAAGAACACACATTGCACCAATGGGTGTTGTGGAAACTTGCTACATTCCCAGAAAAAGTGCACTGTGATTCTATCCCATTCTGCAGATGGGGTAACTGGGGCACAGGGAGGTCGTCCAAGGTCACGTACTAGCTGGTCCCTGGTCTTGAACTTGGCAGTTTGCTCTAGAGCTGGTACTCTCATCACCGTGCCGCCTTCCTGCGTGCATTCATGTATTTGCTGGTGTTTTTATAGACTCTCCCTGGGTGGCTCAGGGAACAGAATGGGAAGGGGGTATTTGGCTGTCTTTCCTTTTGTGCATTTGACTACTGGACCATGCTTTAATAAATTTAAAGCAACAACTTTACGATTGGGAGCAGGGTCCGGAGGTGGGAGGTGTATTGCATAAGACTTAGGTTCCCTGAGGCAGCTGTCAAGTTCCAGCTGGAGACGGAAGCCGGAGGGTCTCTGCTGCCTCGCTGCTGCTCTCGTCCACTCACCTGGCTCTTGTAAGAGGGGTGGGTGGAGTCCAGCAAGGAGATGCCCAGGCCCCGCCTCCAGGTGGGTTGGGCCGGCCCACCCTGCCAGGGGCCGGGAGGTAGGTGGCCAGCTGGATGCACTTAGGACTTCGCGGGGGACCGAGGTACACGATGTCTCCCCACGTGTCCCCGCCCCGCCCGCCCCCGGCTATCGGCACCGCGTGCCTGGGCTTGCATGACGCACCTCAAGGCAGTGGGATTGGGACAGGGGCTATTTTTGGTGGTGCAGATAATGGGTTTCTGCACAGGAACGTGTTCCGGGAACGGAAGCCGTGCTGGGTGGAGGAGCACCTTCAGGGTTTTAAAGCACTTGGACTTGGCTTCAGCTGTGGGTAAGTGGCCCACGCAGTTGTGCTGGGGAGTCACCCACGGCCAAAGCGGGAGGGCTGTGGGGCTGGGGAGCGGGGTGCTTCCCTCCCCAAGTGCTCACGGAGACAGCCTCCTTTCGCTGCCCGTCCCTTTCTGCCTGCCCGGGCACGTCCTGGCGCCGCTGTGTGAGGAGCTGGCTGGCCTCAGGTGTCCAGAAGCCACCGCACCCCAGCCGCTGGCCTCCAACTTGGTCTGTCACGAAGAAACCAGAATACTTGCCACAGCCACACCACTTCCCGGCCACAGCAGTACCGCAACCCATGTGATCACACACCCACAACCACGGCACCACACAAGCACACACACCAGGAACCACCACAACACCCACACGCCTGCAGACCACAACCACCCAGCCACCTCAGCACCACCTGCCACTTAGCAAACCTGCGCTGTGCACCCACTGAGGATCCTGGGAGGGAGCCTCCAGGCCTCCTTCTGCAGGCCAAGCAGGTGGGGCTGGAATCCATGGTGAGGAAGGCAGCTGCCTTGAGGACTTCTATGCCAGTTTGTCAGGAAGCCCTGGAGTCTGGGCATGTTCCTGTATTCCGCTCCCACCAGTCGCCCTGGGAGGGTCACACTGCCATCAGAGCATACATGGCCCCCTCCAGTGTGGGGGTGGGAGCAGGCAGCCTGGCTTTCCTCCTCTTTCGGTAGCATTGGCTGGGGCCCCTCATGCTCCGGAGCAGGGCAGAAATCGCCCCCACAGTCCCTATTGGAGGTATGTTCTGTGCAGCCCAGGGCTGGCTGTTGACGTCCAGTTCTATCAAAGGCACAGTCCTTGTCCCTGAGGTTGAGGGGCAGTGGAGCTGGGACTTGTGCAGGCTGCAGAAGGAGGCTGAGCTGTCGAGTGCATGGCTGGGGCCGCCCTTCGCCTCCACACCTTCCCTCTCACCTCTTCCCCTTCCATGCTAGTGTCCATTTTTCCCCGTGGCCATGGCTGTTTACCTCTCTGTCCACCCCACTTCCCAGGAAGTCTGCCCTGTCTTCCCCAGCTTTGTCCCACTGTGCTTGGTGCCAGGAGTTAGCGGGTACATGGTCAACGAAGGAAAGCACTCAGCTGGCAGAGGGGAGGTCCCCAGGTCTTTGCTGCCCAGTGTCCTGAGTGGTTTTAGGGGGAGATTTGAGCAGACAGGGCCCAGGCCACTGGACTGCAGTGGAAAGGCAGTCCCCCTTGATCAGCTCTCTCTCCTGGATACCCCAGACAGCAGCCTTCTCTAGGTACCTGCTGGGCGCAGTGGGTGAGTCCAGGGACAAACTGGGCATGGTCACCTGAAGGTTTGCTGGGTTTCTGCTTCTTACAAGGGGCTGAGGATGGAAGGAAGGGGGAAGAGAAGAAGCCAGGCAAGGCTGATTGTTCAACTCTTGGAGGGCTCTGAGCTCCTAGGTGGTGAGCGTGGGTGGGGGTAGTTGGAGAGGACTTCGGGTGGGAGGCAGGAGGGGACAAAGGAGCGTGCCAAGAAAGAGTATTGGGGGGCGGTAAGAGTTTGAAGCAAGTTGTCAGAGGAGGCGGGGCACAGGTGACCTCACTGTGTGGGGCAGAGAGCCCAAGCTCGTGAGCCTCAGCGATGGGGAGGGAAGGGGTGAGATAAGGCTAAAGGAGTCTAGAAGCTTCTGCTGAGGAGGCTGGTTTATGTAACAAACCCTGGGAGTCACGAACACAGGAGGATGATTCAGTCAACACACGGTGCCCAGGGAGACGATTCCATCTTCCCTGGGGAGGTCCCAGGAGAGGAGCCACCAGGGCAGGGCTGTCAGGTGTTATTCTAGATAGTGGCGGAGAAGATGAGCAGCCAGGACACTGAACCGCAGGGACTGGGCAGGCTATGTGGGAGGCCGGCAGCTCAGGAGCACAGCCCGATGCCTGGGGGTGCTGGGCTGGGGCAGTAAAGATGAGGCTGGGGGTGGGGAAGAGGTGACCAGGATTTAGGGGACATTGGGGATGAATGTGGGTGGCGGGGAGCAGACACAGGAAAGAGGGAGAGAAATGCTTTCTAGATATGAGAGAATAGGGTTTTACAGCAGATCCATTCTGTCGAGGTCGTTTCCATGTGAGGCTGTGCAAACCAGAAGTGGAATCTAACACCATCCTTACTCATGGCTGCTAGTCTTTAATTTTGTTGATGTCAGGTGATGAGAAAGCACCCCTCCTCCACTCTGCAGAACTGTCAGCTTTGCTGACAAGTACCCTACACTTCCTCTTTTCTGATTTCAGAGAAGAGCTTTACTTTTCCTCTAAGAAAAGGGGAACCAGTTCCCTAAGCCATCAGAACAGTGGCCTCTGAGGTTTGCCAAAGCACTGCCCTGGCTATCTGGAGGGGCCTCCAGGCCCCTGTCCCCCAGGTGCAGCCTGCTGGTGCAGCAAGAACATTTTTCCTTTGTCTTATGCAGTCCTGAGCCACTACTTCTCCACTGTGATTAATAATAGGAAGCTTTAAATAATCCTGTTGCTCAGGTAGCAGCAAAGATCAATTGAATAGGAATTTGAGGGGGAGAGTATTTTTGGAAGTCCCCCAGGAGACTGGAGGACTGCCAACCTCCAGCGCAAGTATGGGATTCTGTAGATGTTCTGTTTACAATGTGAATTTAGTTCTGGCTTAAAGCTGGGCAGGGGTTCTTGATTCTATAGTATTTCAGATGAGGGAAACGCAGACTAGGCTTAAGGAAAGGTGATCAGGGGAAAGGCCATCACCAGCATGAACTACTTCTGGGTTAGAAGGTTGTCTACTTCCTCCCTGTCAGAAAGCTGTACCTGGCCTAGGTCTCCATTTTTATTCCCCAGGGCCAGTAAGAATTCCACCTGCTCTTGTTCTTCTTGCTCTGTTGGCTTGGTGCAGACCCAGGCTCTTATGTACAAGTTCTAGTTCAGGCTGCTATGTCAGAATAGCAGAGACTGAGTGATTTAGGCAACTGACATTTGTTTCCCCAGTCTGGAGGCTGGACGTGGAGGTCAGGGTGCCAGCATGGTTGGGTTCTGGTGAGGGTGCTCCTCCTGGATTGCAGACTGCTGCTTTCCAGCCGTGTCCTTGAATGGCAGAGAGGGGAAGCTCTGGTGTCCTTTCTTCTTCTTATAAGGGCACTAATCCCATCATGGGTTCCATGCTCATGGCCTTATCAGAAGCCAATTACCTCCCAGAGGTTTAACCTCCTAATACCATTGCACTGGGGATCAGGACTTCAGCATAATGAATTTTGAGTGAAACAAACATTTAGTCCCTAAGAGCCTGGTTACTTTGTTCTACCAAAAGGTTTTCTCATCCTTAAAAAAAAGGGTTAACATAACCTAGTTCATAACTGGAGTTGGAGGGCTGACAGATGTCCTGGTTGGAAAATGTCTAATACGAGGCCTGACTCAGAGCTGGACTCAACACATCTTAGCCATTATTATTGTTAAAATATGTAGTGCTTTTGTTGTTCAGTTCAAAACTTTGGTAATTTCCACAGTAACATCATTCCTTAGTAATTCTTTTACCTGGAACCCAAGGTCTGTAATTTCTTTTAATTATTTTATGTGAGAAAAAGTGTACATGTGGGTGCGCACATGTGTATTTCCCTCTCCCTCTTGAATGAATGATAATTTTGCAGGGTATAGAATTCTACATTGATTGTAACTTTTTCTCAGGACTTTATAAGATTCTATATTTTCTGGTATCTGATGATGTTGCTACTATCAAATTTCTAGGTTATTTGTTTTATTATCTGGTAAATTTTTTTTGAAACTTTTACACATCTCATAGTTTCACTATAATGCGTGGACACTTAGATACAACATAGTGAAAATACAAATTCTTACGTATCCATAGCTAGAGTTCTTAGTGAATTCTAATTGCAACATTAGAAAAATTCAGATATTACCTCCTTGAACATCTCTTTACTCTTAGTCTTTCTCTTATTAGCTGTATGTTGGCTCCTGTCAGTCAATCTTATATTCTATAGCTGCCCTTTCATATTAAAAAAATACATTTTTTTTCTCTTTGTTTTGCATTTTGGGTGATTTCTTCAGTACTGACTTCTAATTTTTTTCTGCCTTCTAATTAATGTTTCTGTATTCTACAATGAATTTATAGAGTTTAATTGAGTTTGTGCATCTAAACGTCTATATTTTTTCATTTCAGATTTTTTTCATAATTTAGTTTTATTTTTCTATTTGCTGTTTCATAATTTATGTTTTTATAAATGATTGTAAGTCATTCCTTTATATCTTTGAGAATCCTAAACATTTCTTTATAATACTTGTTCACTACTTGGCATATTATAATTTTTTAAAAAACTTTATTTTTGAGACAGGGTCTCACTGAGTTGTTGAGGCTGGCTTTGAACTTGAAGTCCTCCTGTCTCAGCCTCCCGAGTCACTGGGATAAAATGTACAAAAAGGGTTCTTCCACTAGCAAGTAGGTGTCATGAGGGCAATAACTTTGATTTGTTTATTATTGTTTCTTTAGCAACTAAAACAGTGTCTAGGACATTGCAGGTGCTTAACATACTTATCTATCTAATCACCCAACTATATGTTCACTCCATAAGAAGTGAATTCAGTTCCTATCATTGCATTCTCAATTTTGGCTACCTTCTTTGTCTTGCTTTTGGGAAAGTTACTATTAATTTTATTCTCCCTGTGCTCATCTCCTCCCGGGCTTGTGGTTTTATAGGAGCAGCTTCTTGGTCTGCAGAGACCCCAGTTCTGAACCAGATTGTCTATGGTCAGCGCAGGCATCCATGCTCTTTGAGGATGTGGCAGATTCTTTCAGTGGGCCACATTCTTCCTCAATTGGGGCAAGATATGTACAAGCCTCAACCCTCATCTTTTCAATGTCTGGTCCTTAAGTGTGGGAGCCCAACAGTCTCTGGCTCGGAGACCCTTCTCATGTGATAATCCCCTCTCACCTAGGAGAAAGTTTCTGCCACCTCTGCCTGCCCTCTGACCCGGAGCCCAGGACCCAGCCTCATTTCTGCCTATAGCGTTGGT